TAATGGCTTCATGTAACAGTACTTCTGGGGTGTTGTTTTACGATAACCAAGCTGGGAGCTTTTGGTGTCACCAGGTGTCCGTGGAAGCTGTCCCAGTACAAGACGTACAGCAAGAACTCTGCTACTCACTGTCACCTCTGAGCTCTACAAAATGGTTTACCAGCAATGTTCTCTGTTTCTGAACTCATCCAAAGTATATCACGGGCATAAAAATCCTTTTGTGTTTTGGTGCTAGCTTGCAGGCATGCCAATGAGTTGTCATGTCTCTCAGCAATGAGACAGTTTAATTTCTCTGACTCCAGAACAGTTTTAATGGTTATCACTCCCAGGCTACTCTGAGCCCTTGGAAATAAAGGGACATATATTCCCGTTGTAGGTTTAAACCCTTTTCCTCCGTACTCTCTATGAAGAAGCTGCTGAATAACTACCTGTAAGGTGGGGGTCAATTGCATGAGGACACCTGCTAATAAAAATATTTGGGAATACCAGAATGTCCCATGTTGTTTCTATGAGAACACAAGAGACAGTTAGCTCCATGTAATGTATAAGAGACATGGAAATTCATGATTGACTCTTATTGGTCATAGTGGTCATTAGGTGGCATTTGCAACATCAGTCAGTGTTGTCCCAGATAAGCACAAGATGAGGTAGGGGAAAATGGTTTCTAACAGTGATTATGGGCTTCTGCAATGAAAAGTGACTAGAATATGGACACAGCAAGGCTCCCAAGGGTCCACTTTGAGTTGGGCACTTTCTTGAAAAGGGTTATGTGGGTCTGATATTCTCACATACTCTGCTGGAGGAGAGGGGTGTGTGAGGCTGTTGTGAAACGTTTAGTGTTTTTGCAATATGAACTTTTTAACTTATTTTAACTCATAGAACTTCAGAGCACTGAGTCCTCTGAGGGATGGATAAGTGATATGGTGCCCTTGAAGATACAATGGTGTTACTGACAAGGCATCAATAGACAAAACATTAAACTCACCTGGACTGTCTTGTATGTCACCTAGCCCTGTTTTAGGCACCCAACCTTAGAGAAAATCTGCTTTTGTTGGTTTATGGCTAATCCAGGTGGAGGAGGATGGGGAGCTGCAGAAGAACCATTTCCCTTGTATGGGAAGGATTAGAGGTGCCAATTTTGACATTCTAAATGTTCTTAAAATTCTTGTGCTGTCTGTAAATGAGTAAAATAAAAGGAAAAAGAAAACAAAACAAACCCAAGGGACTGCATTGTGTGTGCTGAGCCTGAGCTATGGAACTGTAAGACAAAGACCCATTTTGTCACTTTGCACTCGCAGTTTATTTTCACACTAATTCCTCCAGTGTAGTGCTGAGTAAAAAGGAAGTAAACAGGCTAATGCAAAAATCTCCCTGTGTGTAGGATTACTCAGTGGTGAGAAAATTACTTGGATCCCTGAGCTGGGGAGTGGGTGGGAAGAGGGAGACCCTCTCCCAAAGGGGAAAGGGGGTACAGACACATAACTCCCGGTACCAGGTTCTTTGCCAGATGGTGAGATGGTGGAAGAGAAGGGAAAAGAAAATCACAAGTCTACCTCCTCCCAAGTCTATTTTATCTGTTTAATCTAACATACATCATCTCCCTCAGTGGCAGTGATTTTATATTCAACCTAGATTGTAACTTTTTCCAAAATTAAAGACTGTTCTGAAAACCTTCTTCCACCTGACCCCCTACTGACTTCAGAAAAAGATCTGTAGGTCTTGTGTCTGTCAGTCTCACATAGCTTTCTCCAGCATCTTAGAGAATCTCAAAGCAGAACCAGGCACTTAGGATTAGACAAGCATGTCTCATGGCAAATGCTCATGTCTTAGGTCAGAGTTGAGCTTTGACTATCTGTAGAGTTGACAGTTATTTCCTTCCTTTCTGAAACAACTAAGTGTGAGGCAAGACACAGCTCAAAGCCTTTACCACCAAATAATCATACCAAATTACAATTATACTGTAAAATAGCTCTTCAAATGCTAAGTTTAATAATTAGTCACAATAATTTGTTTGCTCAAACAAAACAAACAGAAATAGTTTACACCATCAGCTTCCAACCCATTTAACACTAATAAGGGTCTGGTTACTGTTAGCCTGCCATTGATAATTAACATGCCAAGGTTCTAATATATTTCAAGTAAAATAAAATGAAGCAAAGTTGAATTCAACACACATTCAGGAGTAGAAGCTCCTCCTGTTTTCCTTTAAACTTAATTTAGCAGAGTAGTCCTGTTGTACTAGGCTGTCCATACCAGTTTACTTTCTAAATTGTTTAAATAAATATTCTCAATTCACTTATAATCAGCCTGCTACCATATTTCAGCAGACTGATTTAACCAGAATCTCTGTGAAGAACCCAAATCCACTACTCGTGGTGACGGCTGTAAAATCAGTGCATGAAAACACTACTTCACATTGGGTAGTGTGTAACAGGTGGCGCTACTTAATGCAAAATGCATCTGAAACCTGCAATTGTCTGGATGTTTCAGCATAGCCTAATGTTAGGACAACACATTGTTTACCTCACATAATGGACAATCAACTCTCAAATCATAGAATCACAGAATCATAGAATCCAGAGTTTGAAGATATTTGACTTTGGTTCAGACAACTAAAAGCCATCTTCAGACACATCTTGGGTTGATCTGAAATGAAATTGTCAGAGGATCAAAATTAAATGTTCCATTCAAGATGGGTTTTGTTTTGTAACAAACATCCTTCAAATAAAAATATAGTGAACACTAACAATATCAATATGAATTGAAAAATTAGAAAGTATTAAAACAAGTAATGCATTCTGATGGTTCTGTTCTATTGTGCTTTTTGAAACCTGAGTTTTTCAAAGATTTTGATATTGCAAATCACAAATCAGCCTTTCTGTGAAAATTTTGGTCTGTGTTGCAATAGTTTTGCAAGGTTCTTGTTGGAGTCTTTTCAAAAAGGAAATTTAAAAGTATTTTGACCTCATGTTTACATACTTACAACTGAAGTGCACTGACACCTGCTTTCTTTGCTGAGGGGGTATGTTGTAACTAACCTGCTATTTCTGTGATTCCCATGGTTCAGCTCATACCTGCTTATTTTTATTAATATGTTTATTTTGCAACATGAGAGGGAAAGCTGAGGCACAAGAACATTCAAGCTCAGGTACACAAAAGCACCCAGAAATAAGAAAGACTAAGCCATTAAAACCTCACCTTGGTGAGACCAAGGTGTCAGAAGTACTGTCCACATCTGCACTGAGGCTCTGCCACTGTTCAGCAAGGACTATCAGGTTAATGGAGTCAGCCAGAGAGAAAACAAACTTGTGCTTTGCAGTCTGGTGCAGTAGGGAAAGAAAACCCTGTGCTCTGGCCCTTGGCCTTGAAGTGCATATCTATTTTTCATCAAGAGTGTTGTGAGCAGGAATCAGGGTTCAGAGCAGATCTCTCTCCTCTTTTACATTGATCTTGAGTGAATGCACTTCCTTGCTATGGAGTCATGATCCTGCTTGCATGATATTGGTCTTGCTGACCCTTTGAGCTCCTAGCTGAGCCCCTCAGGGACAGTGAAGGCTAGATGCATTGCTGCAGAACCTGGAGGCTAGACATTGAGGGTTTGAACCTTCTCAAGGACCTCCTACTCCCTAACTCAGGGATGAGACATAGGGCTATGAAACTCCGGGCGGCCCAAAGTTTCTGCATAAGGCAGCAGAAATTCAGAGATAGATTGCATCATTAGTGGAGCTTGTTCTTATTGCCTGGCATCAAACTTCCTGGGTCTCATGGGGCACACAAATCTACTTCCAGACCCCAAGGCTTGGGACTATATTGCGTGATTGACCTCATGCAACTTCTGTGAGAATGGACAGGAAACCTGTGACACATAAAGGGCCTAAAATAAGGCCTCCTACAGTCAAAAGCTAGCCCTTCAGTCCTGCTTTCCCCTTGCTCTGAGGAGAGGAAACACAGGAAAAACTTTTGCACTGCAAGGTAATGGGGAATCTACAGGGATGTTGATCAAAATCTCTGTGGGATATAGCAAAGGTTTAGTAATCACTGGCAGACTTACTAACAGTGGGAAATAACTCCACTTCTAGCTGCTTGTAACTGATCCCAGCCTCTATTACTCTGTGGCTAATAAACTTTCATTAAGAAAAAAAATCTTTATAATTTTGATAATTCAGGATAACTACCAATAATGTTCAGAAATTAAGTGAAACATAAGGTGGACATAGGTATTCACTGTGGGATGTTCCCACTCAGAAACCCAGCAGAATCAGTTTTGTGACCAAAATATGTATTTTAGAGTAGAGGGAACAAACAGCCGCTGTCTTAACAGAGCAGATGTCATTAACAAAAAAAAGCAACATAGAAAGCATTTTTGACTTTTACTTGATAAATGCAATCTAGTACTTACCCACCACAAGCCAGAGATCAATGTCTCTCCCCTTGTAGCAAATGCTGGCTATGGAGAAAAACTAAGGAGTAATGTTCTTCCTTTGAACAGTACTTCCATTAGCAGCAATATTGCTTTTTCTAAGTGGCTTTGCTGTTGAAGGATATGGTCACTGTGCTTCAGAGTTTTAGATTTTTATAAAGCAACAACAACAATAACCCCTTTTAAGTCAAAAAACTTCTTGAACTTAAACATTTTAGACAGAAACTTTTTAAAAAAAGTTTGTGGCATCACCAAATGACTGAACCTTGCCTTTTAAATTTTGAGTTGGGGAAGAAAAACACTTTTGTTCATTACCCTGGGCTTCTATTCACTCTACAATAAAGTAGCAATTCTTCACTTACACTTCAAACTGAAGAAGGGAACCTGTTCACTGACATGTGCTCTATTGGTTATTAGTACATGGATGAGTTATTGTTGCCTCATTTTTTTGAAAACCCAGTAAAATAGCTACCATCTATGTTCTTGTCAGCCCTGGATTTTGCTTTCTGCTTTTTCACAAAATACGTAAAGTTGGAAGGGACCTCAGTGGGACATCGGATCCAACCTCCCTGCTCAAGCAGGGTCATGCTAAAGCACATGGCACAGGATTCCGTCCAGATGATTCTCAAATATCTCCAGTGAAGGAGACTCTGGGCAACCTGTTTAAGTGCACAGTCATCCACACAGTAAAGAATTTCCTCCTCATATTCAGGTGGAACTTTCTGTGCATCCGTTTTTGCCCATTGCCTCTTGTCCTATTGCTTGGCACCACTTTGCAGAAGAGCCTGGGTCCATCCTCTTGCCACCCTCCCTTCAGATACTTATAGGCATTGATGAGGTTCCCTCTCAGTCATCTTTTCTCAAGGCTGAACAGGCCCAGCTCCCTTGGCTTATCCTCATAAGAGAGATGCTTTTGTCCCTTAATCATCTTTGTAGCCCTTTGCTGAACTTGCTCCAGGAGCTTCAGATCTCTCTTGTCCTAAGGAGCCAAGAACTGGACACAGCCTTCCAGATGCAGCCTCACTAGGCTCCAGTGGGATCCAGAGGGGCAGGATCACCTCCTCTATGGTGATCTTTTGGGGCATGAGGAGACTCTCGGGCATCACAGAGCTGAATTGGCAATACCTGTGTTTCACCTTCTTCATCCTCATCAAAGGTTTGTTACAGCTGCTGATCCAGGCTTTCCATTAGTCTGCACACTGATACTTCAAACTAAACACAAGGCCTATTGAGCACTAACAGATCAGTGGTAATATTTTGCATATCCTTGGCAAATGATAAAATTCAGCTTGGGAAAAAAAGGCAATCATAAGTATTGTATGAAAACATATGTTTCCATCCCTGAAAAATGTCTATCTCTGAAAATTTCTACTACGATTGTGTTTTGCTACCTGATGCACAATTTGGTAAGGTTGCATGTGGCTTCCATACAAAGTGAAATATTTTATCCCCTTTCTTTTCCCATTGTTTTGGTTCAGACTTGCCACTCGAGAGACTGTTTTTGTCACTGAACTGGGGAATTAAGTCTTCTTATCCTGAATAACTCTTGAAAAATTATTATCAAAGATTGTTACAGTCACTTTTTTCATGTACATGTTTTTTGAAAGTAGTAACAGAGAATTAAAAATATGAACACACGGTTAAGGTACTCTAAATCTGAAAAATGGCAAGTATTGTATTTTGTGGCAAACATCACGTTAGTCAGTGGAATTAGTGTGTAAATGTGCCCTTTATGCTGTTCACAGAAGTCCTTCCTCTGTATATAATAAGGTGCATATTTATGACAAAAACACTGTAGCAGAAATCAGAGTGATTCTAAGCCAAGGTAAAGGTACTTCTTAGATTGTAAATAGCTGCATTACAAGATATACCAGTATAGTTTTACTTTCATTCAGTCCTTCCTTTGAGAACAAATCCTATTCACATTTTAGTGTTTTGATATAGTCAGCCTCATTTGGAGGTATTCAGTGGTTTTTGTATAGGAAACCATCTAATAGGTGCTACTCAGCTCTTTATGAATAGAAACTCAATTTCTTAAGTATAATAGAGCTGTTCATTGGGTCTGTCCTTGTGTTCTATAGTTGAAATTCAAAATATATGTTCATAAATAAAAAGTAGCATTATTCAGTCACATTCAAAAGGATAGAAACCTAAACATTTCTTTATGGAGGTAAAATGAGGTGACATGTAATAAAAAGGAGGCTTTTTTGTAGCATAGTGTAGCTAGATACAACAAACAATGTGGAGTCTATATTATAACAGCTTTAAGAGGTATGCTATGGACTTTGATGACAGTCTTCTCTGGAGGATTCTTCATATGGTGCTGAATATCTGAGCAAGGCTGTCAATATCAGAGCAGCTAAACAATATCTTTTGTTCTAAAAAGAGTGGGCGAGACTCTGGAATGATTTGTAAATTTGTTCAGTACCTCTTTGTGATTTTGAGTCAAGGTAATTCTGAATTGGCTGCTTGCAAAGGAGCTGCTCTTGCTCAGCCTGCGGAATTTTTCACTTCAGAGAAAAATTATTTGCTAGGGCAGCAAGGGTTTAGCTGTGTACAGTGAAAATAATCTTTTTCTATAGCTCCATTAGTTCCAGTGAGGTTGAACCTAATTGCTAAAACCAGGTCAGTTTTAAAATCTCTATGGACAGTAGGATTCCAAAGACTATTTCTGATGAGAAGGTTCAGCGTTTTGGGCTTAGGAACAGAATCACAGTCACAGGAAACTGGGGGAAATGCCAGTCTGCTTCTTGTCATCCCCTCTCCCCTGATGTCTGAGTCTTCCTCTGTCTGTGTCTGTGTCTCTTCTTCTCAAAGAAGACTAAAGTGCCACTGTAAGCCTTCTCCTAGGGTCCATAGATATTTTAGGGTGTGCTGGACCCCAAGGCTCACTGCACCAATGACCTGCATCCATGGGACCATCCATCCTTCGTACAGCCCGTGTGGTAGGCTGGATGTGCCACCAGGGCATATGAGTGGGGAAACATTTCCTAAGGCAGGATGAGCTGGGAGAAGGCCTGGTCTGCTGGGATACAGAGGAACACAAGCCAATATCATTACCAGTGCCCAAAGTCACTTTTTACCTCTCTGTGTGGGATACACTGGGGTGGCACAAGGTAGATGGAATCATCATGGCATCACCATAGAATGGTTTGGGCTGGAAGGGGCCTTAAAGATCATCTAATTCTAACCTCCCCTTGCCATTGGCAAGGACACATTCCACTAGACCAGATTGCTCAAAGCTGCATCCAACCTGGCCTTGAAAACTTCCAGGGATCCACAACTTCTCTGGGCAACCTGTTTCAGTGCCTCACTGCCCTCACAGTAAAGAATTTCTTTCTAATATCTAATCTAAATCAACAGTTTTTTGGTTTGAAGCCATTTGCCCTTGTCCTATCACTACACACCTTTGTAAAAAGATAACAATATGTGGTTTTTTTGAGAAGTACACTTTAAGAATGTTGTTCAAACATGTCATAAACCTGAGGACAGAGCTTCAAGAAGCTTTTCTCATATTGAAATATACTGCAGGAAATTTAGGCCAGCAGGGTTTAGGCATTTCATTGCCCAGTGGGGCCTGCATCCTGAACTCCTATTCACTGGCTGTGTTGGGTTCCCAGCAAACTGTCAGGGATGTTTGAAGATCCCTCTCTGAAGTTCTGAATGTAAGTGTTCCTAAGAGTTGTGCTGCTGAAAACTTTTGGAAAAAGGACTTTGGCACTTAAGCATAAGATTTTTCTCACTAAATTGAATGTTAATTGATTAATGATAATTGTTTAAATTGCTATTTTAACTAAAACATAACATGCTTTTAAAGGTATATCTATTCTTTACTTCAAAAGATCAGTTTAGGAAGTAAAATGGAAACATTTCATTACTCTTTTCCTTCTAAGCCTCTTTTTAATTATCTATTTTTTTCTCTCTGTTTTCTTGTGACAGAGACCAGGTTTTCTTATTCATTCTGTTCTCACAGTGCAACTTGAGCTTGTTCAGTGTTGTGTTACTTCCTTCCTGCATCAAGAAACCTCTATCATGCCCAATTTACACTCTTTGCTTTCACTACACATGGTGTCAGCATTCCAGTCTGCAGTTAATGGTGATTAAATAAGACAGAAATGCCTGAAATCCACTAGCGATCCTGCCCGAAACACAGGAGTTGGTAACTTCTCTGCTACTTATTTTGTACAAGTTCAACCTGCTTGCACTCTTTCCTCAAAAGCAAAAGTTGAAGTTTTTGTTTAATAATAAAAAACCCCAAACTATTCATAACCAGGAAAATATCTCTTCAGTTTTGTTTGGCAATTTGTGAAACTTCATTGACATATGACCACACTTTTCCCCTTCTATTGGTATGATATTACCAAGGTATACAATTGAGTTCAATTGCCTCAAGGTACAAGCTTGATTTTTACTACTTTTGGTCTTTGGAGCTCTCTGTCTATCTGTGGGGAGCTATTAATTGTCATGTCAAAATTGCAAAGTTCTATTGGGATGAAAAAAAAAAAAAGAGAGATGGCTAAATCAATATGAAAATAAGTAGTCAAAACTTAGGGCTGAGTGAGATCTTTCCCCAAAGCTATATTCTAGCCTATCACGAAATTAGCTCGATTTCAAGTGCATATGGTCAAACCACTTTCAGCCTGATTTGCTGAAAAGTAAGATTTCTGTAAGCAAACTGCCTAGTCTGTATATGTGGCTCTTTGCATGCTGTTGTCCAGTTCAAAAACATCTAAATGGAGAACAGAGACTGCCATGATATTGAACTCCCATCTTGAGAAAGCTCCATGACACTGGACTCCTAAATCTTGAAAAAGCTATCAAATAAGTGCAGGAAACACACCAAGATTAGTACTTTCTCCAAAAGGAAATGCTGTAATTTGAGCTCAACCAGATTACTAGGAAGCAGAAAATCCATGCAAGGCGGCCATAGAAAACCTCCCTATATGGCTTCTGCTGTCCATGGGATTATCCACTTAAATTCCTGTTCCTCATCTGTTCCTGCTGGTGGGATTGGGTTGGCCATCTCCTCCAGCCTCTACTTCCACTGCAAGTGTTGCTTTCTAACAAACTTTTTCCCTTCCTCTCCCCCCCCACCCCCTGGGACCCACACAGAGGAGTTCCTTTGTCTGCAGTTATGAATGCAGCAGCTGATAGGTGAGCAAGTAAAGACTAGATAACCTATGGACTGATGCTCCCAAACATTTCTGTTGGGACTACCTAGTCTATGGTATCATTCTGATCAATTTGTTACATCAATATGAAGGGCCTCACTTTTACTTCTACTCCCCAACCTTACTGAAGTATATCATCCATTAGCCAGTGCAAGTCTAAGGTTCCTCCCCAAAAGAGTATGGCTTCAAACCCAGAAACTGTCCTGTGCTGTCTGGCATATTGTCTGGAGCAAGGCTTTGCTGCAGCAAATATGAATTTCAGCTTGCTTGCTGCAAGCTGACCACTCCCAAGGGAGAAAACACGGAGATCAGGCAGATAGCTGATGCTTGCTTTATCAGGGTCTTTGGATGCCACAGGGGTGTGGAGAAAAGGATAGGTGTTCTCCTGCAGAGCATGATGCCGATGGAAGGCTTCAAGGCAGACTCGAAGTAACAGGATTTCCTCCTCTGATCGGAAACAGAGATAAGAGTGAAACTCTAACTAGAGTCTCTTCTCAAAAGGAAGATTTAATGGCCCGTAAATGACTGCGTAACTACCTAATGGATTTAGCCTGTGGCAGGAAAAAAGGAAAGGATTAGGAAATCCAGGACTGATCTTAAAGCTACTATAAAGGAAATCTCAGCAAAATAAATAACTGAGTAAAGGTTCATTCTCTCCAAAAACATTCAGAGAAAACAACAGAACTGGAAAGGAATTTATCTGCTTGTTTAGCACACTAACAAAATAACTGGAAAACCCACCTATTTTAGGAATAACTGAATAAAGACCAGGACTAGGGCTTTTATTTTTTCTTACTCTAGGTATTTTCTCAAGACAGTATTAAATTACAGATAGCACTGAGTATGAAATGCTTGAACATTTTCAGGCATTTTCAGGCAAGTGGAAGGTGTGCCTTGTCACAATATTGATATGTTTTATTAAGAAGTGTTTGAGGCAAGAGTAAACATGACCATTAACCAGAGTGAAGAGGACAGGACAAGGACGGCATGAACAGACAGACCATCTGGCATCCTCTGACAAAGATACACCTTTCCAGTATGGAAAAAGGTTAGTAGTGGTAACAGAAAAGTTTAGATAGGTGACAGAAAACAAAACAAATATGACTTTTGGGAAGTATTTGTTGAACACCTCTGACATGCTCAAAACTCCAGTGGTGTTTGTTAGCAGTAAGTTTGGATCTCTGCACTTTGGGGTAGTTGGTAGCATTGGTGTATTTCTTGTGAGGCACTTCATTACCATATGCCAGTGGTCTCCATGAATTTTATTTATTTATTTTCATTGATTCTTAAATATGTATACTGACAGGTACCCAGGCTCTAAGAAACAGAGATGTGGGGCACATGCTAAAGTATGCTCATGTGGATTTGCACTCACTCCTTTTTTTTTCCACTTCGATGACAAGAGTCAGTGACTGAAAAATCAGTCTCAAGGGGGACACATGCCTCTTCCTCAGTTCAAGCTTTTGACCTGTCCCCACTGAAGATGATGTGAATGATGGGCTCCTGTGCTCTCTTGTATAGTGTTGGAACTTCTGAAACTGGGAGCAGGTAAGAGGGACAAGCAAATACATACATATGTATCTTAAGAACATGTGAGCAGTTCTCTTGTCTTTCCTCTCAGAGACATGCTCAGCCCACAGTGTAGAGAAGCTTCATGTGAACATGCTTTCAGACTGGCCTTCCAGATCCGTTCTGAGCAAATGGAGAACAACTTGTACAACTTAAAATAATATTATTAGCTCAAGAGCTCATACCACAAGATTGTAGCTCACATGCTGCAGAAAACCAACGACCAATTCTGCCAGGAGGTGCTGATCTCACACTGTCCCCTCCATTTGTCCCTCCCCCTCTCTTCCAGTTATTTCTCAGAGGTTTCAAATAATGATTCTGTCATTGCCATGGGTTAGCGAGCACAGTTTCCCTTCTCCTCTTGCCATTAGGGTCTTTCATGTCTTATTATCAAGATGCCTAATCTTCCTGCCCTTTGTTGAGCCTTGCAAGCCTTGTTGCAGCTGTTCTGCATGAGTTTAATCTAACTCACTAGATAGATGTGTGGATGAGACTCTCTAAATGCTTGTGTTCTGCTTAGATGTTATCATGAAAACATAGCAGCCTTGACCTTTCACATAACTTAGACAGCCATGAATAGTGGCAAGCCCTGTCCCCCAGCCACATAAATTTCATGCCTGTTCATCAGCTGTTGTTATGCAGAAGAGTATTTTATCTCACTCACTTTTGACATCTTAATTTGGTTGTAGGGCTTTCCTAGAATCTAATCTTTGTATGTTTTCATCCCCAGCTTTTGACTATTGGCAGGTATTAGACAATAAAGTGCAGCCTGGACAGTTTCATTTGTAGAACATGAGCTAATTAGCACTTTTAATGGGTTTAATGGATTGCACCAGAGTCTTATAGAAATGATGCTTCTTATCTAGCTAGCAATAATTGGGAACACAAATTAGTAGATCCCATTCTTCCTTGTAATTGCATTAAATCAGCTGATATCTCTGAGCTGGAGCAGTACCAATGTGAATCCATCTATAAACGCTGCTACACCTTCCACTTTATTTTGTGTCTGTGTTCATATACGTCAGAGTACCTACATGTTGCTGTTTCTACTAGTGTGCAGTTCCCACTAGGTTTTGGTACCATTTACCGTTCATAATGAGATCCTGAGATGGCACAGTGTTATGATGAAGAGCTACCTTCTAGTTCTTAATCCCTTGTTATGCAGTGTTACATGTATTAGATGGTTTACATATTAGATATTAATTAAAGGGGAGCAGATGGAATCTGTCAGCACCAGAAAGGCTGCGTGTTCAAGTCTGTGAGCCAGCAAAAGCAATCCACCAGTTTGTCAGGAAGGCAGCTTGCTGAATAAAATTTTCATGTGTGAATGGACAATCAGAATCCCAATTTCTTTGCCATTTAACTGCCATGTGAATGATTAATAATAACACAATTATAAGGTAATTTAAGGAAAACAGATTTGCTGAGAAGCAGCTGCTGCTTATATCAGTATATGCTTGATGGCAAAATAGTTTTGGTGCTGAACATGAACTGTTGTGAAAAACCCCACTACTTTTGATTTTATTCACTACTCTTCCCACATTCCTGCAAACAGATTATTTCTGTGTTTTAAAAAAGCATCAGTGCAATTTTTTTTGTATGGCTGGTGCTTCAAAATTTCTCTATATTTCTAACATGCAAATAAACCTCTCAATTTTCCAAGTCCATAGAGTAAACTGAAGTGAGGGTTCTGAAGCTGCTAGTATACACAGTTTCTGGTGCGGAGGTGGCAAATGGCTAGGCTTCCAGGCTTAGCCTTTTACTCTCTAAGTCCCATCTGTACTCAGAAACAACCTGAAGGAATGGAAGTAAACCAGTAGAGAATTTAGTCCCTGTGGTGGTGTGTGTCACTGGCCAGTGAGCTGCAATAGCATTTCTTTTCTCTCTTTGATTCTCCTCTCAGTGGTGCACGTGATGATACAGCTGCAAAAGGGATGCTCACTGACAATTGTGGTGGTACATGTAGTGAAACAAACATTTGCCGCCTTAAAAGTTAGATTATGAATCAACTTTTTTACAGAAAGCCCTAAGTAGTCTTCAGAGCATTCTGTGCAGGGATGAGCTGATAAAAGTTCAGAAACAAATGGAAATAATGACTGGATAGGGTATGGGAGAGAGAGAGAGAAGAAGCAGAGGCAACTGTAATGGATATTTATCAATTTTATACTTCCAGTTTTGACTTTTGACATCTCCTAGCTCTGTTTCTGTCCCCAGGTGTGGAGCCTTGGTTCACCTAAACCATATTTTTATATCAGTTTAGGACCTCACAGAGACACCTAAAGTGAATCTGCAGTGTGAGAGAACAAAAGGAAAAAAAGGGAAAAGGAGGCTGTCAAACAGGGGAGGTGGGATGCTTGTGTACGGAGCCCTTTGGTGGCTTCCAGCTTTTCACTTCCTTATGCAAAGCAGCAGTCTTTTTGTGCTAAAAGGAAGGACCAGATCTTAATTCCTCTGGAAAATCCTTTAAAAAAAAAGACCTTACCTTCTCAGGGATGAGCAAGCAAGGTTGCATGTAAGCAGCTTTCAAGGCCACATGCCATTGTTAACTCCTGTTTTGTATTATGGTGGTGGACAGGCTTCCCAATCCGTTACACCAGGCACTGGCAAACAGAACGTGTACCTGGTTCAGAGTCAACTGGGGTTTTAAAATCAATGTGGCATTTAGTGCTATATCAGATACCTGGGATAAATCCAAGTTAAACTTTCAGAAAATACTTGCATTTATTGACCAGCACGTAAACTTAGTGCTTTTTAGGTTTAAAAAGACCAACGTTCCACAAAATCTGCTGATTACCTATAACCACATTTTTGTAGCTTGTAGTTTCTCAGTCTAGGGGATCTTGAACTTAGTTATTTCTTGGTAGTCTTAAACAGACTTTCATTAGTTTGCTCAGGTTTGACACCAGGTAACTGGTACAAGTTTCCCTTGATCAACTTCTTCAGTTACCTCCCCTTCCTTTAAAAAAAAAAGAAAAAAGAAAAAAAAAATCAGTTTTCTATGCTTTGTTATCTAAGAAGATAAGTTTATTACTCTGTACTTAAAAACAAATTAGAAATTCTGATCTGAAGAACTCCTTAGCTTATCCTTCAGAATTCTGGATGCAAGTTTAAACCTGTTGGTTTCGAAAGTAAGTAATTTTAATAAATGTTTTCCTTCTGTTCTTTTTCCCGCAAACAATACACTTCTTCTTTCATTTATAACTACCTAGAGAACCATTTGTTTTAAATGTGGCATAGCAGTCTCTCTTAAATCTCTTAATTTTTTCTGCGTCCCGTTTCTAATTATACCATCTGTTTCTATATTATCTTGATGCCTGGCATGGATTTATCTATTGTATGTGGTTTTTAATGCCTTATATTTAGTTTTAATTAAATGGCTAGTGATATTTTAGATATTGCTTTAATTTTTCTGAATGGAAACTGTATATTGCTTTTTATAGCTGAAAGCTTTCCTTTTCTCCCGTCCTTATAACTGCTGTAACTTAAAAAAATATTTATCAAATGTTCATATCTATCTTTAACTATGAAAGATTTTTCTAAGCAAATTATTTCTTTATATCTGTGGAATTGTATCTACTAGTCATCCATTCCTCAGACAATGCCACTTAAAACTGATTTCCAATTTTGTTAGCAACTGCTAAAAGCTTTTTCAAGATTCAAGTTTCAGGTATGCCCATCTCTGCTGTAGTCTGCTCCCACCACATAAAAGAACATTAGATCACAGTATTCTCACCTTGCCAAATGTGTTTCCTTTATTTTCAAATCAGTGATTAATACTTTGCCCATCAGATAGAAGCCAGATACTAAATTAATCTCTAAGGGATAGTGTGGTAGGAAAACCACATTCATCTTTCATGTAGTCACTGAAAAATTTAAATCATAAATTGCCCTGCATTTACGGTGTCATTGTAGGAGGCTAAAATGTCATCTTGCAGCACACCCTTCTCCAGTTCTAAACGACAAAATTAATTCCTCTCTTAATTTCAACATTCAAGGTGCAAACTGTGCTACCAGTATCCATCACTTGTCTTCTGTGAGCTTATCCGGTTCACAGAGAGATTTTATGTCAAATGCCATTTGAGCTTTAGTTTGATGCATAAGTGAGACACAGTAAAGCTAGATCCAATCCAATACTGGGCAGGCGAAAAGCAGGAGAAACTTAGTGAGCATAACAGTGCTGACTGAGGTGGGTCTGTCTCTGGGTGCATTCCTCCCATTGTGGGGTTCCATTTCTGAAGGCTTGAGGTGGATAGGGAAGGGGTTACTCGAGCTCCAGGGGTTTCTTCAGGGTCCTGGACGCATGGAGGGGTTAGGTGCTCACCCCTCCCCCCACCCAGGCAGTCCCATGGCAGCCAGAGAGACAGCACACGGGACTTGGAGAGGAGGCGAGAGAGAGTTTATTGATGAGGCAGTTACATATATAGGTCTTGGAGGATTCACAGAGTGACCAATTACGGGGTCAGGGGGCTTACAGGACACCCAATCGCAGGAAGGGGTTAAAAGGTCCAATGAGAAGACTTCTTGATATCTTCTCAGGACATTCCTGAGACAGAGATAAGAACTGGCCATGGGGGATTTTGGGAAGAAGAAAGCACGAGCCAGCACAGGGACCACAAAAAGCCATTTTGAAACACACTCAAACCACAGCTTCCCATACAAGGTAGATTCACTGCTACATCTGTCCATTTAGTGACTGCATGGTCATGGTTCTGAATCACATGGGCTGAAGTTGGAGCAAGTCATTCCATTGACTTAATGTCAGAATATGGCCCCAGAGCTGTTGCTGAGGATGTGACACTGGCTAGAAGTTTCTTGTTGAAATATGTTACCTTAATTTCTTAGCAAGAGTTTCACACTAATTTTCACTTACTGCACAGTTAGATTAGAAAAATGTGTTTTCCTTCTGAGATTAATGTATAATGACATCTATCCAAAGAATGCTTAAGTATTCACACTTCAGAGAAACTGACCTTTAAGCCACACTTAGTGAAAGTAAGCTAAAATCAGTATTGCATTCTTGTTACCAAGGACACTTATAATAATCTTCTTAATTGTCCTTGACAATCTTATCATTAAAGATCTTGGCATTAATTAACTATATAATGTCCCCTGGTTGATAAAATCAGCCTTGCTGCCACAATAGGCATTGTATTCCCAGGCATTCTTTGCAGAGACTGTATCTATAGCAGGGGTCATTCATGCTACTAATGTTGCCCAGATGACACACAAACATTTGGAGCACTTAATTGTCTGAGAAGTGAGCTGAATGAAGGCAGTGGTGTCACTGTAAAATATGTTCCAGCTCAGTGTTTCTTAAGGTAGCTTTTATGCCAAGATTAGTATCAGTGTTTAATTGACAGCCTCTTCACTTAGTTAATTACTTGGGTTATTGTAGCAGAGAGAGAGAAATGGACAAAGGCATTTGTGATCTGAATCACTACCAATACAGAAACAAATATGTGAGTACTGTGAAGGCCTACAGGAAAAATACTAAGTCTCCTCTTTCTCCTGTTGGAGTATGATCTTCTTTCAGCATTTTCAAAGAAAAACCTGAATCACCACAGTAGCATTGGTGATTCAAAGGTGGCCGAGTTCAATGCTTTTATAATTTTCAGACAACTGTTAGGAAAGAAGGATGAAAGTTCAATCTTTGGGCTGTATATCAAAACACAATCAGACAGAAATTGCATGTAATTCCATATCTGCTCAGGTATCACAAAGATTTTTACTTTTTTTCTTTTTTTTTAATATATGGGGTTTATAAAATGGGCAGGCTAAAATTTCAAATGTGGTCTGTAAATCTCTCACACCTTAATGCACTGACTGTGACTGTGTTTAAAATGTGAGTGTGTACAAGATCTTTCAAATGCAAATGTGGGAATACAGTAGTCTTGTTGAGAATGCTTTCCAGAAGGCACAGTTAGTCATCTTGGTGTCTCACTCTGACCTCTTGGGTGTGCATGCAGTACCTACCACCAGCAGGCACCAGTCAAAAGCACACAGCTGCTGAAGGGAAGCAGCTTCTAGCATGGTGCTGTGTAAATTTGCTTGGAACAGCAAATTTCTCCTGCTGCCCTGTAGTCATAAAGTGGGTGAATTAGGGATATTGCCCATAAATGGAGGGAGACGACAAAGCTTTCAAGTTTGGCAGCAGTGATCTTGGGGAACTGTGTGACTCCTTACCAGTGGCCACAGTGGAAATCTTTGTAACTTCCAGTGAAAAACTCCTTGTCCTCCCCTCTAAGCAGAGCTATAGGAAGCAAGACTAGAAATACTCCTTACCTAGCAGCATGCCCTTTCTGGTTTTTTTGTTCTGTGGTGTCATGTAACCCATTTACTGCCCTAGTGTTGTGTATCAACACAAAAACCCATGGGACTTAAGCAGTGAAGTAGGAAGGGCTAAGAATCCTCCTCCCTTTGCCAGTGCTGCTGTACTTACACAGTGAACAATCAGGGCATGAGGAAACTGAGTGTGAACTCTAAAATCACTTTGGACCATCCTCAAAAGACTGGGGATCCAGGGCAGGCCCACCAAAGTAAAACAGATTTTTAACAAAGATAGTTACCACTAGCCATCCTCTAAATCAGACTAAAAGCAATGATCACGTGCAGCGTTAGAAGACCTTGGCATGAACACCACCGCTGTGAGCAACAGCTCAGTCCCATTAAGAATCTTCTATTTCCAAGTAGAGTGATCAGCTCACCATATCACATCATAACAGGTACTTCTGGGGTGCACTTTCACTACCAACTCACAGTATGAGCCACTGATGAAGAAAGAATCCAGCCCTCCTCCTCTCTGGTGCAGGTTACATGTCCTCTTGCAGGTTCCTGGTACCCAGATGCTGCATGGCCAGACTGAGCCACCTCTGCTGCCTGCCCTGGCTGGAAGCCAGCAGTGAAGAAGAGCAAAGCAGTCGATGGAGGAAGTGTCCTTCAGGGGGAGAGCCAGCATCTAGATTGGCCTCAGCGCGTCATGAATCCCTGTGTTAGTGATGTATGTGATGTGTCGGAATGCAGCCAGAAGTTCACATAATGCTTTAATTAGAAGACTTGGTAATTTTAGTGGAGATCTTCTGACTCAATCTGCCTCTCAGACTGTATTTGTCTACTAACATTTTTCTCATCAAGGCACAGTTTTTAATATGGATATTACCTTATTTTTGAAAAGGAGTAGACCTTTATTGCATACTGTATCCCTTGGAGATCCTTCCAGAAATTCATCATTCCCCATTAAGAAAACTAGTAGCATGTGCTGGGCAAAGGGAGACTAAGCCCTATTACTGTTGCCATTGGGCCTGAGCTGGATGTGAGCTCTGCAGATATGCCCTGTGAATCTCTGAAATTCTCATGCCCTATAAATCATCAGCATGCAATTTTTCCATACAGAGCATTCATTTGCTTTTTCCCTGTCTGATGGAATAATTCAGATTCACAGTTTCAAGCAAATTATTTCTTATCTGGCTCTGTTTTTACTTCACTCCTTTCTTTTTTTCCCCTTGCAATTTCCTTTTACTTTTTGCTAACCGTTTTGCAGAACAGATTTCACAAAACACTGCATATTCAAAGGCAAAAAAAAAGAGTTGCAAAAGTCTGGATTCTCCAGCCCTCCCTTCCAGACTACCAAGAGAGGGCTAAAGTTAATGCAAGAGTTTACTCTCTCATTCCCATTTTTCACAAGAGAAATGCTAGTGATTGTGTTGGGGAAAGCCCACAGCTGAACAGATGGGAAGACTTAGGTGCCAGCAAAATTTAGCAGTAGAGTAAAAAGATCACTCCAAAGCTTCTGTATTTGGATCTGAACAAGATCTGAACAGAGGTCCTGAAGGCCACTGATGCTTGAACTTTGACTTGTTGTAGACCGAAATATGTCTTCCAGTTCATTCAAGGGCAGGGCTATATTTTATGGCTCTGGATACAGCTCACAAGCTTCCATCACCATCACCCTCAGCCCCTTCCAGATTTATAACTGAGGCCAGCTTCCTGTTATTTCAGGTCACTGTCATTCCATCTGCCTTTAGACACCATGTTTTAATAACTTTAGGGAATAATCCCTATCTCAACAGCTAGGCTTTTGCCCCTACTTCTAATTTCGGAAGTCATCATATTTGTCATAAAATGGTATCAAATAGATGGATTTTGGTGGATGGGCTAAAATCAAAGACTGAGTCTGTAAAGATTTGCCTTTAAATGACCTGTAGGAGTAAGTACAGCCAATCTAACATCTTGTTCTGCATCAAGTTCATTCAGGTGGTTTGTGATACTGTAGTATACAAAGAAACCACTTTTTGTGCCTTTCCTCATACTATGTCTTGTAAAAGTTCAATGACTGAAAAACAAACAAAATATTTTGAAATTACATACACCCAGGACAGATATAAACTTTGAAAAAATGAGTTTGAGATAATAATATGCTGGTTTCTGGGACTTGTGTTCAAGCAAACAAGTCACAATAATGGTGGTCCAAATCTTGGCTACTTGTCCCTGGAGAGACAACCACTGGTGGAGTAGAGTGGTCATCTCTGTCCAAAAGCTTAAGTTGGTAGCTAACTGTAGCTGGGCATTGGTTGCCTTGATGCCCACTGACACAGGGAAATCCTGTATGAAAATATCTTATTGTGCTTTGAGTCAAAGTACCCTAGACCTTCTGCTTGTTCTCACTGTTGCGGTAAGAAAAGTGAAGCTCTAGAAAGAAAACAACTTGTAACTCACAGAGAAAAGTTGACAGAATGATAAGTACGGCATACTTGGCTGATGCTTTTACCAAAAAATCTTTCCTTTACTTAGTCTTTCTACAAGCAGTAGCTTCCCCTGTGTCTTTTTATTTAATTCTCCATTCTCCATCTTGCAGAACTTCTGCTGTTATTTTCTCTGGCACCTTACTAGAGCCTTGAAGTAACTGAAAAAAATAATACAGGGGAAAGACTAGACTGGAAAAAAATAAACTTTACGGAAAAGTGCATCTGTTAGTCTCTGGAATAGTCTTCACAGGCAGACTTTGAAATGGTGTATTTCAAACACAACCAGTCACTGGTCAAGAACAGTCCAGAAATGGCTGGAAGAAGATAGCTCATTTTAAGACATTTTGTTTTCATCTTGTCTAGCCCTGCTTATTGGCCAGTGCCACCTGAGACAGTTGCAATGGCAGTCACCATTGCATTGCTACCACTTGGATCTCAGAGTTAGTTTTCCATAAGACTGGTCAGTTTGAACATGTAATTTTGGCTTGCTGACTGTAATTTTAAACAAAGCAACACATACATGTGCTTAGAAAATCTTTTTCCAAACCCATAAAACTTAGACTTTTTTAATGTACAAATTGTTTAATGTGATCAAATCTCCAAAAGCACTGGAATTATCTTCTCTGTGTTCTGAATTACTTTATCTGCCCTTCCATAAAATACTGAAGATATTAATTTAAATTATCAATCACTATCAGATAAAACATACACAGCATCCTTATTTTAGTTTTAGACTATGTGAGTTATAATATCATTGAACAGCTCTTGACATTGAACAGTGCATGACAACTCTTTGGGCAGTGACTGCTGCAAGATGAGACCTGGCTACAATAATAAATTTTTAAATAATTTTGGATTAAAAAGTGAAACAATAATTTATCATTTATGCATTGAAAGCCACAGCAGGTACCCACAAGGCACTATATGCTGCCTACATACGAAAAGCAGTATTAGTGTAAGCACCAACATAAAGCAGCACACAAGCCTGAGGCACAGATGGAGGGAGCAGGAAGAGAGAACGTGGATAAAAGTGCAGTTTTCATTCAGTTTACTTCCAGTAGCTCTTTTTTATTAGTTGAATGGTATGACTACCTCTCTGTGTAAGAGGTTTCCTAATGTCCAATGCACACACTCGGTCCATAGTCAGTGTACGTGTGCAATAACAACAACCCATCTTCAGTACAAACAAGTGGTGTGCTATGCAAGTGGCTTGAGAGCCACAGGGATTGGTGTGCGTGCTGGTTTAAAGGTAAACCAGCAGGGGAAATGAACTCAACTCAAAAGAGAGATTATAAGTCAGAATAACAATTTAATAAAATAATACAATAAGTACAATTATACAGACAAACAATTGGTTTTAACCCACAAAACCCAAATGTATAACCCAGCACCCTGGGGCATGAACAGAGTGGTGTTCTTTGGCCCCCCTGAGTCCAAAGTAAAAGGAGAGGGGAAAACCTGTTGGTGAGAGTAGTTCTGTTGTAGTCTGGTTGAAAAGTGGTGGTCTGCAGTTAGGTCGAGAGCGGTGGTCTGCAGTCTTCCTTTGGATCCCACCAGTGGTTCCAAAAGTTCCAAGACTCCAAGATTATATATTGTCCAGTTCAGGCAGGAATGCCCAGTACTTTCCTCAGGGCGGGGAGTTTCACAAAGGGTGTGAGGAACAGGGAGGCACCCTCATATCTCGCAAGCCTCTTAACACCTAGTTTATATCCTGAGGAGTCAGGCTGCTCTGGGCAGAGGGTGTAAATAGTCTATTGAAAACAGTTTCTGGGAAATGGCATGGAAGGCTATTGAATACACAGTTTTGGGTTACACCCATCCAGTGATGAACTGGTCCCAGCTGTCTTAACTAGGACAGTGTGCTAGTCAAGGGGGAGACTTTGCAAAAGTGCAAAGGACAACAGACCTTTCAGGCTACCCTAATGCTTTTAAAAGTCTTCCACAAACCCAGTGTGGCATGTCTGCCAGGTCTTGTGTGGTTGCTTGCTCCTTTGCCTTTGCAATGAGCTAAGCAGTTGCAGGCCAGAAGAAGTTGGGATACTTTCTAACTATGTCAACATGCTGTTGAGCATGGTCTAATAAGCTCTGTTGAGAGGTAGCATCTGTTGCCTCCATCTCAGTTTAGTGCTAACAGGGATATGTCTGCTGACTTGTATCTGGCTGGCTTGGTACCTGAGATGAATGACTGTCAACATCTGATTGTTTAAATCTTGAAGGAGAATTTTATCCAGCACGAGTCAACATTATTAATTCTTTTGTAGGGCATTAGTATGTCTCTCTCATTCTTAAGAAAATAAAAAAGTAATTTAGAAAACTCTTTTCATAAGAAAAAGATTTTCATTCAATCTAATGCACTGCAGAACCTGTAGACATCCCCATTTATCCCATGACAATCTCCATAAGGATGGAAAGTGCTCAGGCCTCAAACCCAGCATCTTCAAACAGGACTAATATAAAGTAGCAGAGACCACTCACTATCTTCTGAAGGCTGAACATTTATGAAAGATTACTGTAAGTGAATGTCATCTACTCCAAGGCAAGCTGAAAGCTTGAACGACTGCCAGAGATGAGACAAGCCAAGGGACATGACTTGGCTCTCCCTGCCAGAGTTTTGACAGGGGCCAAGGGAACTTGCTGTACACATATGACAAAGCATATAAATTAAATGTTTCTTGACGGTGGCCACCAGAAAGTACTGTCAGCATCCTGTCACTTGGCTATGCTTTAGCCCTGTCTCACAGGCTGCTGCAAGTAGCTCAGGGTGAAGGGCACAAATAGCCAGATTACATCTGAATCCACCCGTGCAAGCTGCAGGTCATGGGTCCCCTTTGGTATGGCAAAGGAACAAGAACAGAAAAAGCCTTTAATTCTCAGTCCAGGCTTTTATTTTGCCAACTACTGGCAACTAACCATGGAAGAAAACGCCGTGCCTTTTTTCACTTGTTTTGTTTTCAAGGAGCAATTTCCAGTGCAACTGAGAGTGTGTGAGGGCAAGAAAAATGAGGTATCAGCATTGGCCTTTGTGAATAACTAGTCACCAGCAACACTGTTTAACATTTCACACCACAAATATGTTTGAACCGGATACAAGCCTAAATCCCATGGAACAAGAGGCATGATCTTCCTGGGATTAGTGAGCACACTCTATTAATATGTGTCCTAACTTTTGGAATCTGTAGCTTTAATGATATTTATTAAAAAAAAAAATCTAAATGATGCTACTCTAATTCAAAATAATGGCAGCTGAACATACCAAAATTTATCTCTAAGTTACAGCTAAGCATAAGATTGACAGTGCCAAAAATGCAGAGAGATTTTCCAGATATTTCCCACCAATGAGAGAAATGCCTGTAATGCCTGATGGCGGAATTGGCTTGCACTGCTCCAGCACCCACAGTCCTGCTTAGGCTGGAAGGCATGTGCTGGAGGCAAGGGGGTTTATGATCCACCAGCCAACATATAGACCAGAATACACTTTCACTGCTAAATCAGCTGGTACTTCTTTACATTTTCTAGTTCATATGGCTCAATAAAGAGATTAGGTGAAGGATGAATATGTGAAATAAAGCAATGTTATTTACTTCTTGATATAAAAGATAAATGAGTGGAAAGGGGAAACATAGCACAAATATTTTAATGCAAGTGCTAACAGACGATGTTGATAACTGTATAATACAAAAGCAACAAGTACTACTATAACACAGATGTATGAAGAACAGAGACCTGTTGTACATGCAAAGAATAAAGCTGACAGTAAAAGAAAGTCTTTGCAACTGTGAGCTTGCAGGCTAACTGAAAGGGGAGGATCCATACTCATGGGAAGCTGTCATACACAGTTTGAGAGAGGGGCATCTGTGAAGGAGCAAGATTCAGGATGGGAGCAGTTTCAGGAGTGGAAAAAGTCACACAGCAATTGAAAGGACTTTATTATACGGACTTTGCAGTTTTTATGTGTGTACAAATATATACATTGTATGTTTCCCCGAGATTTGTATTTCCCGGGTTTGCCCAAGCATGCCTGCTCCCTGCTTCCCTGCTTCCCTCTCTGATTGGCTGAGAAGGCTGCAGAGAGGAGAGAGCTACCATTCGTCTGTTCGCCTGAGTCCCTATCCCTATTTGTTCCCTGGTTGTCTGTCTCATGCTCCACCCCATTTTCTGGTACATTCCACGCCAGAGTTTATAAAACCCTTGTGCACCCCCATTAAACTCAGCATTGCATCACAACCTCAAACTGACTCATACTCTTTTGTGCAGCTCTGCGGCCTTCTCCCCTCCCCCCTTCGGACCGCGGCAGGCATCCTCCAAGGGGGAGTCAGTCTGCTGCAGGCCGGGCTTACCCCTGGGGACACGTCTGTTGGCTGAAAGAACTGAGAACCATTTTTACTGAAGATGCAAGCTATGGCAAGTGGTTCAGGTTTGAAAAATGACAGTAAATATTAGTGTTCAGAAGAACTCACTGCATCATTTCATCATCTCTCTTGTCAAAGACTGATATCTTCTTTACGACCCCTTACCTTTTTCACTGAACCTAGTAGCTTTATAGGTAGCCCTAAACTCTCACAAATGATTTTCAGGAGACTTTGTTTTTAGGCAAAGAATTTATAAAATTTTGAAAAAAAAATTTTCATCATCCTAGACCACATTAGTGTTTGGTCTGAAGCTGAAGGTTCAATCATTTCACATGAAACACAGTCTAAATCAAGAGATACATTTCCTCCTGAGTGGTTATCTAAAATAGGTCAGATGAACAACTCTCTGGAGATAGGAGTGCAGAATGCCTACAGAGGCTAAATAATTGGGGTTTATGATATTTCAAGTTAATTAGATGAATCCTGTGATGGGAACTATAGTTTGCAGTATACTGTGAAAAAGGCTGTGTACAAAACTGAGTATTTTAAATGCCCCTTCACCATCCCATCAGAATCAGGTGAAACCCCTGTTGGGGTAGGGGTGAAGCAGCACATGGGGATGTTCTTCCAGGCTGTGCCACAATGTGTTTGTACAATAAAGCAGAGTTAAGATTGTTCAGGCAATTTTATGTTTTAATTGATAACATGAAGTCATTTGCTTACCTTAGATTTGTCTCAGTATAACTCAGACTGTAGAAGAACTTAAATTATCTTTTAATGAAATCCATCTTAGCTGGTAACCTGTGAAACAGTTTGCAGGGTACAACCTGGTGCTATTAAAATGCTTGGCGAAGCTGCTATTTTCACTGACTTTTCATGAAGGCACTGTAAAAGAAAAGGTCACTTCAGAGAAATGCTTCCTCAAACAATTCATTTACAAAATACTTTTTCTTCTGTGTTTCACACACTAAATAATATATATAGCTCAGAAAACCTCACTCTGGTTTCCCTCCTCCTACCCTTCAGTTTTGGGTAGAAAGCTCTCCCTAAATTCTGATGAAGCATGTCTCCAGATGTCCTGTTTCCTTCACAGGTGATAATGTTCTTCTGCAAGTAACAACTAGCCCCAGCTGTTGAAACATTGTGAAGATTGATTGTACAGATGAAGAGTTACTTCATGTGATGCAACTCCAATCAGTAGTCCAAATACAGGATTACTTCCAGCCTCTTTGTTTTGAGAACTGCCTTACTTACTACGACATGGGTTTGAGCATGCTGGTGGGCTTTGTCCCTAACAGGCATTAGTTTGGTAGATCATTTTCAGGATTGATAGTTTTGTAAGCTCAAAGCAGTGGTGAACCTGAAGGGTCAGTGGCAACATAGCTGCATGAGATGCAAACATAAAGGCATTATATGGAAAAACCAGTCTGTAATTAAGTCTTCATTGCCAGGCAAAAAGGAAAGGAGAACCTAAAATCCAGTATTTTCCTCTCCCAAGTTCCTTGTGCAAGCCTCTGTCTTCTCTGCCTTCTCTGACTTACAGCACGAAATTATTTTGGGGGAACCTAAAAATCCTTAATTTAAGTAAATTTCTTAGAAACATTTAAAAATACCATATATGCTTATTCATATTGGTGATTTTTTTTGGTATCTGCTGAAACACTGTTATACACCATATTTGTAATAAAATAATACTGGAAGAAAGTGTGTATAGAAAATTAGTATAAAGGTGGACTGCATGGCACATAAAGCAGACACAATTTTTTTCATATATCATCCCAATTCTTGACAAGACCTTAAGGCTCCACGGTCAAAGAAAATAGTGCCTTAAGAGCATATTAATATTTCTTCTGCCTCTTTTTTTAAATGGAAAAAATAAGAAATACGTCCTCTGAGGTTTCAGCTCTGGAGCTTGTTGATGTGAAGAATTGAACCTTCTGCAGTGGCCAATATATTTTAAATAAATTACAACTATGTAGCACCAAAGTTTTGACACAGAGAAACATTTTTTTAGGTAAAACAGAACTTTGCTAACAATTTCTGTGTGAAAGAAGAAAGCACAAATATCACACATATACATATATGTATACTCTCTCATAATAAAAAGCTTAATTATCAGGTATGAGCCAGCATGTCCAGAGAGCAGCTGGCTCTGCTGGGCTAGCTACCTGCTACCATCCCTGGATGATAGTCACAGGTAGCAGTCAATCCTCTGCACTCTAGCAGGCCTTGAGGGCAAAATGGGAATCTGGGCTGCAATCCTACTGGGGTAGGCCAGAGGAGACAAGGATAGAAAGGGAGGCCCTGCTGCTGCGCAGTGATGCTCTGCACCAAGAGCCATGTGGGATGTTTGTTAGAGGGCAAGAGGAGTGTCCTTCTGCAAGGAGAGATGGAGCGAGCAGGGCAGCTGGGAGGTGGTCAGGCTCCGAGTGGGGGGAGATGAAAGGAGGAGAAACTGAACACAAGTATGCACGCCTCCAGGTCTCCAAAGGCTAAAGCTGTTAAACTTTGGAACCACACTAGCTCCAGGAAATAGCTGAAGTTCACATCCTATCCCCACGGTCTGCATTTAGCTGCACATTTACTCTTAAGTTTATTTTTAATTTTATAGCCAGTCCACATGCTACTCATTGGCCTATGCTCCTGACCCTGCCATATTACTTGGGAGTTTCAAAGAATACATTTTTTTTCTTTCTGGTAGTACAATGCTGAACCACATTCACAAACTTACACATTCCCCAACTTTCTTTAACTGTGTATGGTATTTTTTTCACATTTCCATAGTAACTTTTACTTCAGGAATATGCAAGAAGGCAATTTAAGCAAGGTGGTTAAGAAGTTAATTAAGGTTATTAAATTACAAAAGCACAGTAATTTTGCTTCATTAACAAAATGAAGTGCTTAAAATCATTATGAGTCCAGGAACTGAGGGAATAAACCCTTGACTAAGCCTCAGCACTTCCTAAAACTGCGAACCTCAACTGGCACATCTGAATCCTGCACACAGCAGGGATCTGGCCAGGGGAGGCCAGCACTGAGGCTTTGCCATCTCCTCCTATAGGGACAGAGGGAGGAGGAGGATGGTGAAGAATGTGTCCAAGATCTCCAGCCTCTTAGGATTGCACAGCAGACAGGATGAAGAGCAAAGGGAATTCCATCATGGGATGCTCCCTTAGGTTTTCCTGATCAACTGTGGGACTAGAGGAGAAAACCCATCACCCAAGGGAACATCTGTAGCAGATGGGTTTTCCCCACAAACACCAGAGGAATCTTAAAACCTGCAGTAGCTGTAATGATGGCAGTTTTGACAATAATATTCATCTTGGCTGAGGTCAGGATCACACTTCTCTGAACTTGGAACATTCACAGGGAGTTAGTCATATAAACCCAGACAGCAAAGCCAGCCTCAGCATGGAAGATTTTACTATGTACCAGGGTTGGAGCTACAGCGAAAAGAAAAGTGTTCAGAACATCTCAGATTAGCACTCACATAATTCTCAAATTTGGTAGAGGCTTTTTTAAAAAAAATATGCCTAGTTTACAACAACACTTTTAAATTGATAAGTCACATTTCCACCAGGCAGAAAATTTTATGATAGTGGGATGGGGTTTCATACGCAATTTTCAAAGAATTGTCCTAGTCCAATTCCTTAAAGGATTCCATTTTACAAGTGTAGGAAGCTCTTGTGCATTCACCTTTGTTGTTAGCGCTATCACATCTCACCAAACTCCTGCAAACAGTGCCCCTGTTTCTGCGAAATCAGCAGTAACGATTTCTTCTGGATTTCGTTAAGAGCCTAAGTACGTGGTAGAAACCTGGCAACTAGTGGGAAGAAATGAAGGTTTAACTGGCACCACAACAGTGTTAAAAAGGGGATTAGTATTAGCATGTCCTTTGAATTCATTGTAATGGAAGTAAAACCAGGCGCGTTTTGTTTGGCATCTATTTCATGTCCCAGCGAAACTGGCATACCACCATTTGATCAGGCACAAAGCCATTCCAACAGATGGTCCCCAGCAGCAGCAGCCAAGAGTCCATGTATGAACATCAAATGTGTTTGAGAAGGGCAGGTCTCCAGGCTGCCAATGTCAAAATTGTTTTCCATTCCCAGCTTCCATGCCAATGGCTAGCTGGGCTATGCAGCCCCTCCACTGCACTGGGGACAAACCCAGCATCATGAGGAGGGTGTACGGTCAGGAGTGTTGTCAGACCTTTTGTGCTCACCCCTGCCTGACCTTTTGGAGAAGGCCTTCATCAGGTCAGTAGAAAAATGCTTCTGGACACACCATTTGTGTTTAAATAAAAAGATGGAAAAAGAGTGAGCTTCTGCTGCATGATTTTCTCATGACCTGTATAGGCATAAGGGCACCAAAGTGCCTACAGAATGGGCACTCCTGGGAGGAAATGAGACATTTCTTTAAGGGCCAAATGAGCACAGACAAGCACTTACTTGTGCCAGCCACTACACATCATAAGGAGAGACTTTTTTTTCAGTTGGCAATTAGATGGCTGCTGAGCAAATCTATTGCTCATGTTTCTGGGTTGTAGCTTACAACCCAGAAATTTGTGAATTTGGTTTGCAGAGGTTTAGCTAATCCACTTTGGATCTGAATGAGCCTCAGCTCTTCCCTATCCCAGTCATCACACCTTTATGTACAGCAGTAAATGCCACTCAAGCCCTGTTGAGCCTCTTGCTTTCCCTTGTTGTACCTGTGCAGGGGTGTGCCTTCATTCCCAAGAAAGACTGAACCACTGAGATTACAGCCAAAAGCTCTGCTTTTTCTTTCTTTTTTTCATCCTATCCCAAAACAGAAGGTGTTTATACTGCCAGGCCAAACGCTCCCCCTCTACCACATGAGAGAATAAAGAAGGAGGCAAGCAAGCCTAAAATCTTGGAAGAATGCCTGTAATGCCAGTTGGGCATGCTGCCCCCTGTGCCTACCAATGCCTGGCCTGGTTGAGCTAAGGGCATGGAGCAAGAGTGGTGACAGGAGCTGCCTCCAGCTGGCTCCTCGTGGTCACACCTCTTGCTGGTGCACTGTGGAAAGATAGGAGAACCCTGAGGCTGCCTGGCTCTAAGGCATGATCCTCACACCACATGGTACCCACAGGTATCATTGGTTGTGGAGAGGGTTTTTTCCCCCTTCCTCACCTTCTACATGTTTTTCCACTCTACAGGAGAGGTTAGCTTTTTAAATTACAAAAGTATTCTAAAGTTCCTTTGGAGCTCACAGTGCTGAGATCATGGCTTAATTGCCATCCATTGTATATCATGGCATTGTCCATCAAGGAGCATCCCAGAGCTTAACAAGCCAGACATGTAAGCTTCACAAGCATGCAAACATAGACATATGTATTCCAAATAACTTCTCTCATTGCTGTAGCGCAGCCATCCTGCCATGAATTGTGGCAATTTTTCAACAATGTGCAGCTGCATTACCAAACCGTGCAGGGTAGGAAGCAAAGGATACCTCATTTCAAGGAAACCCAGGAGGAATCTGAGGTTGGCTCCATAGAATTAATCCCATGTGAATTTGTCTCCTGACCAGGTTAAATAGTGGCAAGTGGAAAGGAAAGGAGAACATATTTTATTAATACTGGGGCTTTAATTTGCTTATATTTGAACCCTTTTGTGTGTATGAATCTTGAAAATAGTTTGTGATTCAACATCAAGTGCTTTTGTGCAATTGTCCTGCCAAGAGAAAGTTGTTTGAGCTTCACTGATAGTCCAATACCAACAGTTGATATAATCTGGCTAAACCCTAAATTTCCATTTGTTATGTTCCTTGAATGTTTCCAATACTAAATAAAGTGTCAAAAATGAAATGGATCTATGAATATGTTAGAGTGCAAAAAAGGGGTTACATACACTGATCCATATATATGGTGTATTCAGTGAATACCAGAAGGTCTTCAGTCTGGCTAGGGTGCCAGAGTTGGTGCCAAACTAACTCCAAACAGCTTTTTTAATAGCATCTGCCCTGGTAAGGCCTCAGGTGGAGCTGCTCTAGAAAATGCTGGCACAGTCAACATGATGGCACTTCCAGCAAAGTCTTGCAGCACCACCTAATGAATTACAAGGTTTTTTCCTGGCAACACCTGCAGGTCTGTGGAAATTCCTCAATCACAGGTTGAGCAGGCCTGGAGTCTGGGGCAAGAGGGAAGTAACATACGTGGTTTGATAATAATTTTGCCTGCAGCTTCTGACTGAAAGCTCATGAAGGAATAAGTCAGAAACAGTCCTTTTGTAGTGATTTTAGTTTTGCTCAGGTTTGTTTGACTTAGAAGCATTGTCACTACAGGTATCTTATGTTTTCTACAGGTTTGGTTCTGGGTTTGCATCAAGCATCA